CGAGGCTTGAACTTTTGTCTTCCTACAAGTGCTTAATCTGTCGTTCCCGTCTTGGAGTCGTACGAGTACCCTGATGCTTCTTTCACCTTCTGTGCTTCATGCACGAGAGCTTGTTGGACGAAGTTCAGTGATACAACGTCCACTCGAGCTTCCAGAGAGTGGAGTAACTCCGAGGCAAACTACCGAGGAGCGTCACTACTTGGTCTTCCTCTGAGATAGGCACACCAATCGCTGCAAGTCTGTCTACCAATTCCTTCATGTGCTTCAGATGCTCTTCGATCGACGCCCCCTCCTTCATCTCGGTCCTGAAATATTTTTTATTGAGAAACAGCTTGTTTGCGAGAGTATCTCTTTCAAAGTTGTTCCGCAACGCTTCCCAAGCTTCTCGGGGCTGTTCGCACGAAGTCACCATATAGAGTTGGGATGTGCTGATAGCAGGATGATCGTAGAAAATGTTCTCTCCGCTTTCTTCAGATATTCCGCACGAGCTTGCGCATTGGCGCCCTCTGCAAGAGCTTCTGTTCCGTCCACAAGACCTCAAAGGCCCTTTGCAAGCAACAGATGTCGCATCTTAAATTTCCATGTCGTCCAGTTAGACCTGTCTAATTTTTCGATGACCCACTTTTTGTCCACCGTTGAACCCGCCATGGCACGCTTGGCCAGTGTCAGCTTGTTAGTAGACGAAAGATCCGGTCGGTCACTTTACTCAAGCGACCGACACCGCAGCTATCCAGGCAACTCCAGTCTGCAGTGCAACACAACAGTGTCTATCGGAGACCCGGGCCCATAACCTGTTGAGAATCTCGGCGCAAACGGAAACGAAACACGCTTATAGTGATTTGATACTTATTCACTCGACTCTTCACAATGGTGCAAAATCTGAATTTTATAGCTACCTGCACTGTTCTAGAAGGTACAGCTTCTACAAGTGTTCTGTTCTGGTAGGTTCTGATGTTCACAACCATGTTAGATTATATATCAACAATGAATATATTATTACAGCGCATGCGCAGACAGCTGTGGGCTGTTGCAATAGAGCGGTGGAGTGTAACTATAGCGTAGTGCTGTACCACTCTTCTGTGCTTTAACGAGAATCCTGCCCTGGCTACGAAGGCATGGATATATCTTTATAGCAATTGGCATTAAACATGAGCGAAAAAGCCAATATCCTGTTGTGCAATGTATGTCACACTGTCCAGAGGACAATGGTGGCATGAAGTGGGTCGAAACATGGCACTGTTGAACCAACTCGTGGTACATGCTAGCTGTGTATATTACCCCGCTGAGTCCAAAAGTCCAATTCAGTAATGCAGTCCAGTGTTCCAGTGTTCCAGTCTAGTGATTGGAGATAATTCGCAACGGTATATGGCAGTGCGGGTTATGAGCACACCATTTTATATACTCGTTAAACACAAGATTGTTGTCAATTTGATTTCTTCCCATGCATGCATGTTCTTTACTTTGCTATACCTGTCTACCATGCATATACTCAGTTTAGAGAGTGAGAGTATAGCACAGTGGTTTCAGGTTTGCCTTTGTGTTGTATTGTGATGTAGATTCAAACCACCACCAGCCCTGACAGTAGCTCAGATGGTAGAGCACTAGCCTAGACTGCAGACTGTCGTGGGTTAGAATTCCACCTAGTGCAGCTCTTTCTTTTCCAGGCAGGACAGCTCCTTGAAAAAAAAGAGTTGCCATGAATGTAATTGGCTTTGTTTGCTTTGCCTTGCCTTTCTACTTTGTTGCCTTGTTGTTAACACATGCGTAAAACTTTGTTGGTAAATAATTGGAAAATCTTTTTGTCAAGCACTGTATTGCGATTGTTGCATTTATTGCACAGGAGGTCATTGCTATTTTTTTGTAAACACTAAGTACGTGGGAAGAGTTGCTATGTATTCTTGGTGTGTAGCATTTTTAACCCTCGGCGTGCATGTACAGCGAGGGTTACAGTACTTGGTCAGTCCGTCTGTCCGTCTGTCTGTTACCACGTTTTCTGCTACCGTGTGTAACGAAGTAGCCAAGAAGCGATACAAATGGGTTCAGCGCTACACTGGCTTTATTGGTGATTTTCGTAAAAAGTGCCGCGTTCTGAAGTTATGGTGTGAAAACCAAGTGAACAAGCCAATATACTAATTAACACGGGCTTTACCTCGACCGGGCCCACTTGCTCTGTGTATCTTGAAGGCACAAGACGAAGGGTGTGTATCGACTCCCGCATGCTATGTGCTACTGTAGCTGTACTGTAGCCCATGTCAGACTCTCTGCGAGCTAATAGCGGGAGACCACGAGTAAACGCATACTAATAGCCCAGCCCATCAATTAGCGATATCGCGCCTGTGCAGTTCGCCGAGTGTTTGCACTTTAGTGCTTTTCATTAACCCTCGGCGCGCATGCGCAGCGAGGGTTACGGTACTTGGTCCGTAAGTGTGTCTGTCTGTCTGTTACCACGTTTTCTGCCACCATGCGCAACAAGAGAAAACGAAAGAGGTTCAGCTCTACACCGGCTTGATTTTGAGTAATTATGGTGCTTTAAAGCAATGCGTTGAAGAGTTATGGCGTGGAAAACCAAGCTAACAAGCCTATATGCTCTTTTGTCATTGGCTTACCTCCACCGGATTATGTTGCTGTTTGTGCTCTGTGGAGGCATGCCATCAACGGAAGACGAATGTAGAGTGCAGCGAAACCTAAAGTTCAGCTAGCAAAGCTAGCGAAAGAAATATCCAAACACTAAGTATAGCTAGCTGAGCGGTATCCTGGACTGCACCTACCGCAGGTAACTGATCCCTCCGCGCCTGTGTATGTTACACTAGCGTGCGCATTTGTGATTCACATGCATGTGCATCGAGCTTGCGTAGACACTGAGCTCAGTGTGGCTTCATTCCTTGCCCCGTGGAAAGCTACCCGTATAATGGATGCCAACTCTTAGCAAAGGTGTGGGTTAGAGCAGATGAAAGCTAGCCTCACACGCGTTTTGCAGAGCTCCTGCCCTTCAGAGCACGCGCGCACCCGCACGCATTAGCGAACAGCCCATGTTCCCAGGTCTAACTTTAATCACTATCTCCGACTTTTTAGGATGCTTCTGATACTTGAGCCATTCATTCGTGATTGTGATATTGTCAGTCCTGGAACCAAATTGTTGTATGATTCATCTGATTTCCGCGTGATCATGGTTGTGTTTTGTACTTGTGATTTGATTAGATGATGATGGCTTCTGTTGTTCTTCGATTTTCATGTTCCTATGATTTGGGACATGTTCATTGTTTATTCTGATTTCAGGCCTGCTTTATAATGCCAGTCTGGGTCTTCTAAACATGTTCATTGGCCAGGAGTCACACACTCCGATTGTGACAAATAATAATGCTAGACTAAGCTATGGTGTTTAACACTGTTGCATACACATAACTAAACCCACGTGAGTGGTACCATGCCGCCAAGTGTTTTGCACTTTAGTGCTTTTCATTCAAAGAGCAACTGTGCAGGCAGTGATATGGTCAATCTGAGTTAACAGTGAGGTGCAAGCCTTCTTCATTGGTCATGAGTGAGCTCAGGCAAAACTTAGTATTCAAGTCAGTAGGCCAAAAAGTTTTGAAATCATAAAGCTCTTTCCCTCGGCACCCATGCGCAGCGAGGGTTACAGTACTAGCTAGGTTCATGGCTACGTCTGTTCGTCCGTCCTTCCTTCTATCTGTTGCCATTTTTATGTCACTACACAAACCAATGGGCGATACTAATATGCTGCATGCTACAATGGCTTCAATTTATTTGGCGATATTTCGTAAGTGCTGCGTTCCCGTGATTTATGGCATGAAAACCAAGTGAAAAACTAGCACAGAGGATTACCTCGCCCCATACGCTTTTTTCCCGTACCTTGGAGGCTTCAGATGTTACAAATGAGGGCGGTTTGATGAGGGTTTAGCTAGCCAGTGTTTGACTCTCAGAACACTATACGTGAGACAACAACAGCGTAAGGACATCAATTAGCAGTACGAGCGCCTGCATTGTGTTGAATGAGTGCACTAGTGATTTCATTGAGTCAGGCACTATTAAGTAAAAGGCTCTGATATTAGCATGTGCTATCCTCAGAACTCAGGATTGGTCGAGAAGTGTCCAAGCTCTTTGTATCATGATTCATCCTCACAAACTTTCCCCACAACAGGCCAAGCAAAACTTGGCCTCTACTTGTACAATAATTGTCAGCGTGTTGGAGAGTTTCACTATTGTTGGCGACATTGTGTCCATCTTTTTCTTTTCTCGCATCGCTGTATATCATATTGCACCAGAAACTCTACTCTTCATTTGAAAGGCCTTGAACTGTCTTCAACTATATTTCTATACTGCTCTCTGTGAATAATGCAGGTTTTAACAGCATTTAAAGAAGTATACCACCCTGATTGCTTCCGCTGTGCTGTATGTGGTGTTTGCCTGGATGGAATTCCTTATGCTGGACAACATGATAAGGTCTACTGCATCAAGGACTATCACAAGTGAGAAAAGTGTGATACACATCACATATAAGTTTTGCATAACATAAGTGTGTGGATCACAAGGTATTTGCTTGCACACCAGTTTCCTATAAGGACCCAGTACCCAGTGCAGCTTTAACAAGGCACAACACAGCGAGTCGTACATGGGTGTGATCTGCAGATGGCGACGCCCAAATGAATCATTGGCGAACGGGAGCTAGCCAACCTAGTTCAAACGGGCTGATTGTGGTGGTCTCTGCCACTGCACATACTGCAACCTGTATGTCTCCAATGTCACGTATACGAGTTTAAATTTTACGTGCTATACAGCTCGTGTGCATTATGATCATACACTTTACCGAATCATTGCACTTTGGAAACCAAGGAAGCAGGAGCTGTGTTTAGCACGAGACAGAGCTCACAGAAGGCAGTGTAGTGTCTTGCTTCTCAAACAGCCGATGAGCGAGAAACACGCCTTCTCAGCACCGTACTTAAAACCAGCCACGGTGTGCAGCCTAAACATTGCACACGACAGACACGCCTCCATCAGCAGCGAATATCCATGCAACTGGCACGAGCAATAGAGATGCCAGAGGAGAGAGAATCCCATCTCAATCTTAACTAAGAGCATGTTCACCAATGGATGATCTACAGTTGGATTGCTCCCACTCGTCAAAAATGCTCAGCATTGTAAAAATGAAAATGGTGAAAATAGGACATCACAAGAAGAAAAGAGAGGGATGGCCTAGTTCAGTAGTACTATGGACGATTGGTACATACTTCAAACAGACCTTGCTCACTAGTGTAAATTTTGCCGCACACAAATTGTTGCAAAGCATAAATGTACATATTGTGCAGCGACACACATTTACTAGGCATATATATATAGGTTAGACGCGGAAGCGAGGTGTCTACGCTACATTGCAACCCGAGGGGCTGTGGAATGTTGGCGTCCCGAGCGCAGCGAGGGCGCTACCCACATGCCCCGAGGGTTGCAATGTTGCGTAGACAACCGAGCTTCCGCGTCTAACCGGTTTAGACCGGAGTATCTGATTGGTGTTTGCGCGTTCAAATGGGTAGCAACAAGCTAGCAACGCTGTGCTCATTCCTCATTCCTTACCTTCGGATGGAACAAGACGCTTTTTTTACGTGTGAGACTCCGAGGAGACAGCCCTCGCCCCCCGTCAAAAATCGTTTACGTCATCATAAAACGCCCTCATTGGTGGTGCGCGTTTGAAAGGGTTAGCAACGCACGGCAACGGCCCAATGTGTTTGTGTATATCGCCAGAGCTGAAGAAGCCGACGCTTTTTTCGTGGAATATTGACGTGATTTCTGACTCCGGAGACTGTCCACAGACTTCTTGCAGGTGCACTACGCATTTTAAAAGAGCTACTTTGCCAGTCGCGCCTTCTACGCTTACATATACCGAACGCGGAATCGGCAGGTTTGCGCAGATAACGACTTTTTAGAATAGCCATTTTGTACGGGGAGTTTGCTGTAGACCACCTGCAAACGCCATTAGACACCTGAAACGAGGTGTCTATGAAAAATAAACCCCCCGCAATTCTGTAATCTGATTGGTCAATTGCGCGTGACTGCGGTCTAAAATAACACAGGAGTTGCCCTCTCTGACAGTTCAGGTCTGAGTTGTGACAGCATTGTGTGCCGTCTAAGATTTCCACATTCGCTCAACTAACCATTTTACAATGCTGCATTCTTAGGGCTAGGATGATCGTTAACGGCTGTGTGGTAGAGCGCATCCGCAGCGACGAAGGGAAGAGTTGGCTGAGAATATATTTTCCAAAATAGTGGATGTATTTCTCATCATCATGCCGAGTAGCTAGCTCCTTTTCTACAAAAAGGACTGGAAAAGGTGGGTGAACGTGGGTAGACAGTGTGACAGGAGGAACATAGTGGAATAACTCTAAAGGGTGACAGAATGCATATCAGACAGGTTTAGGTGTAATCATCTGGAGCCAGTTGCTCTCTAGATACTAATATGGTAATGGACTTAGCATTACTCTACACCTAAGTGTCACTAAAATTCAGTTTACCGGGAAGGGCAAGGGACGTTGCATGCGAAGTCCTTCACAGGTAGGTTAACTGAGGTTAACGAACCGGCGGCACCCAGCGCGAGAGCCAGTAGGAGCATGCGCCGTTCGGAGGCGAGCATGCGTTTGGGAGGACTGCCCACGTGGTCGTCATTTTTGCCAGGTACAGCTGTTGGTGCAAGATTGGGCTCTCTTGCTGTTGTTACGTCTTTCAGCATCTTGCCCGCTTAGTATCGCTTGGTATCGCGTGATGTCTACAGTCGCTGCCACCTATGACGGCACGGGAGCCGACGAGACCACGATCTCCCCAGAGCAACATACTCTGATAGACCAACTGATAGCTAACAGAGTGGCAACCAGTGCAGCCGCTGGCGTCCCTCCCCTCCCATCAGCTGCGTCCTCAGCAGCCTTCGGTCCACTGCTTACTCCCAAGTCGTTACCGTGACCGACAAAGCCGTGTCCTCGGAGGACCTGGCACACCTCCCTGGCTCTCGTAAAGAAAATCGTTTCGAAGGAGTACGTGGTCATTGGGGAATTCTTGCCCGAATCCTGGCAGGTACAGGCGGATGGCTCCTGCTGCAACACGAAGCAGCCGCGCCGCATTCTGGTTACCGATATAAACGTCCGGAGGGAGTGCTTCGCCACGATGGCAGCTATCCTCGCCTCGGCTTTCCCAGAGAAAGCCCCACATTTCTTCACATCTGCGGACTATCACCAAGGCGAGCCTCACCTTTGAGAGCTCCGCCTGGGTGTCCTACGACACGACGTTTTGCCACCAGGCTGCCAACCGTGGCTTCCTGGATTGGGTCTTCGTAGACCCAGGCGTTTTCCGGCTGGGGTAGGCAAATACTGAGGTGCCGGTACTGCCAGGCCGATACGCATGCATCCCAGGAGTGTTTCCACGCCCCTGCAGAGCGACTCCCAGGCCAACCGGATGGTCGTCTCGTTCGTCAGAGATTTGTAGGCTATTCAATTTCCCGGGGACTGGAGGTGCCGCTTTCCTTAGTCCTCCTGTGCGCAGACCAGAGTGCGATGATAGGTGCCAGCAGCTAGCCTCTTCCCCCACTTTAGATGGCGCGCGTCCCCACAGACAGCAGACCGCCCACCCAGCCCTCTGGCTCATTGCATCCCCATTGACAGATTGCCTGCCACGTTGCCACCCCGACGGGATGTTCGTGCGATATGTTCTGGAAGGCCTCGAGCTGGCTTCCGTGTCAGTTTCGCCCAATGCAGCACTCTTCATCCTGCGCCCAGCAATATGCAGTCGGTAAGGCTCCACCCAGCAGCTACCTATCCAAGGAGGTGGATGGGAGGAGGATGTCGGGCCCGTTGCTCCCCGGTCAGATCCCAGGGCTACACCTAAACAGAACGGGGGTGGTTCCGAAAGGCCACACCCCTGGCCGATGGAGACTGATCACTGATCTGTCCCACCCGGAGGGTGGAAGCGTAAACGATGGGATTGAGGCCAGCTGTGCTCGCTCAATGACACATCAGTGGAGTCCATGGCAATAGCAGCCAAACAGCTGGGCACAGGTTCATTGTTAGCAAAGCTGGATAGTTCGCTGTTGCGGATACCCTGCAATGGGTTATGCTCGATGTTGGGGTTTCGGCAGTAGACCATTATCGAGACCATTTTATTACCATCGGCTGCCCAAGCTCCCAGAGTGCCAGCTGAATCTCGACAGGATACTGGCAGTCGACAAACTCGAGGGTTCCTCGCACTGCCTGACCTTCCTCAGCATTGAGCTCGATAACCAGGCAGGACTCATGTGTCTCCCAGCGGACAAGCTGTCGCGGCTCAGGGACCTCCTGGCCCAGTGGTCAAATCGTCGAGGAGATCATGTCGGTGGCAGGAGCTGGAGTTGTTGATCGGCACCCTCCAGTCAGACCAGGGCGAGCATTCCTCAGGCGAATCATCGACCTGCTCTGCACCCCGAGTACCACCAAGCCACACCACTACATCAGACTCAACCGTGAGTTCCGGTCGGATCTGCAGTGGTACCAAACGTTTGCCGGGCACTGGGGGTAGCCATGTTCCCCTGCCCCGCTCAGCTGACATTCATCGTGACTTCCGATGCCTCCGGCATGGTCAAACGATACCTGCCTCGCATTCGGGCCTTTTTCCCGTGTCCGAAATGTTATTATGTTACTTTGTGGCATCCCTCATGCAGGAGAGTATCGCGCCAGCAACCATCCTGACGGACCTAGCTGATGTCCAGCATGCCAAGATTATGCGGGGTCACCCCGAACCGCATGAGTCATCATCCCTACCACTCCTACGTCTGGTTCAGAATGGGGTTATGAGGGAATGTGTGGGGTGACGTGTCCGTCTCAGGGGATAACCAGGTCCTACGTGTCTTCCTCAATCGATCGAAGAGAGATCAATACGGTCGAGGCACGGAGGTATTCATCGGCGCCACTAGTGACATGCTCTGCCCGGTCCAAGCCATGGGATCGTATGTCGCCGTTCACGGTGTGTCCCCAGGGGCATTTTTCCTCTCACCGAATGCCTGTCCACTCTCTAAAGCCCGCTTTGTTGAGTTGGTACTGTCGGCACTGGCTCAGGCAGGGGTACCCATCACCGGGTACTCTGGGCATAGCTTCAGGATTTGCGCCGTAACTGTAGCCGCCCAAGCGGAAATCCCGCACTCGGCAATACAAGCCCTCGGCCGCTGGTTGAGCCCCGCTTTCTTGCATTACATGAGAGGCGCAATACTCTAATCCCGTTAGCTAATGCATGGACTGTAGCGAAGACTCGTTTTATAGTGTCTGTTGCCGTCAATGTAGTGTGCTCCATTTGTTATTTGTTGAGGGTGTGTGTTTGGGGGGGGTGTAGGAGGTTCGAACCCCCTCTCAATCTTTGGGCAGGGGTGAAGACTAATGAGGCTGAGGGAAATACCCCTGACACCCCCACCTACCTGACGAGACCCAGTGCTTTGGCCAACATCCCCAATGGGCTCCACCCATGC